CTCCTCCTCCCACATTCTCTTCTAGTACTGATGATGTTACCTAGTTGGGTAATGAAATGTCTGCAAGAAAACAATCTGGCTCATAGAGCACTTTTTCCTCCTCCTCCTCCTCCTCCTCCTCCTCCTCCTCCTCCCTCCTTCCCCATTCCCTTCTAGCACTGATGATGTTACTTAGATGGGTAATGAAATTCCCACAAGAAAACAACCAAGCACCAAGACAGAGGGGGGGGAGAAAGAGAGAGAGCACCAAGGACCCTTCAGTTCAACCCCGAGCTACAAATATTATCTTCTATTGTTGCAAACATCTCTTTGGAGATCCCAGAGCCAAAAATTTGAGCCCTGTTTAAACCTTTGAAAAATACTAACGTTAAATGCCAGTCGCTCAATTCTCTTTAAGCCAGAGTTCCCCAACCTTTGCGGCTTCGTAGACCAGCAATGGGGGAAGAGGGGGGCAGAGTGGGTGGGTCCGCCTGAGTGGCAGGCAAGCGACTGTGCCGCTGGCACAAAGGGAGTGCACATGCTTGTCCTCTCCTTGCACAAGTGGGAATGCACACACCTGTGCACACGCACGCCACTTCCACGGCTTGGTTCCGAAGGGTTCAAGTCCAGGAAATGGGCCGCAGCCAAGCATTGGGGACCCTTGGTTTAAACCTTGGATGCCTTAAACTTCCTAAAATCCTTTCCAGGGGTAGGCTGCTTGGGGGTTCGCTGGGATTTGGGAAATCCCCTAGCTATGATTCTGTGCAGTTCAGAGACCCCCCCAAATCCCACCCCACTTGCCCCACCCTGTCCCTCCCAGGAGCCCCCATGTGGCCCGTTTTGGATGCAGATAAGCGCAGGGCGCATGCGGAGGCTCAGGGAGGGTGAAAAACGAGCCTCCCGGAAGTTCAGGAAGGCCAGAAATAGGCCTGTTTCTGGCTTCCGGAAAGCCTCGGGAGCCCGGGGAGGCCGTTTTCACACTCCCAGAGGCTCAAGCCTCCAGAGCCCAGGGAGGGCAAAAATGCACACGCACACACATACCGCTGTGGTGCAAGAGGCTGACTAGGCCACACCCACAATGGCCACACCCACCCAGCAACCGGGCAGAGAACTGTTTGCTAAAGTTTATGAAGCCCACCTCTGATTTCCTTTCCTATGCCAAACAAGACAAAAGGGCCCCCTTGAATTTTCTGTAATACCTCAGGCTGTTTGCCGTGAATTGAACGGTGGCATGAATGGAATAGTAATTGCACGTCTTCTTTAACCCGTAGCTTATTCCCCACCAATGGAAAACCACATCCTGTCTTCAGGCAACAATGGCACTTTAGAATACAAGACCTCGCTGGCTCCCATCTCACCTGGAAGATACTCACCTATCCCAAAGCACATGCTAGTGGAAGATGACTACCCCAGGTTAGATATTCATCTTTACTGAGTGCCTTTGATTGATTTGCTGGCTTCCAGGAAACACGATTTTTTTTTCTTTTTTTCGATGCTGGGATCAGGGCCTCAACGAGGTGTGAGCCTTTGAATAATCACATTATGCAGGAAAGAGGCAGTCACGATTGATCTGGCTGTCCCTTAAGATAATAAGGAGATGCACTCTTTAAATTTTAAAAGAGGGGTTCCCCTCTCAGTAATCTAACGGTTAGAAACAAGAGCCCAGCTAGAATCGGTGAAGAAATAATTAACATTTGGAGTAAATAACCAGGAGGAATTTCTTTTGCGCCACTGTTTCTCTTTATCGTAATTTTTTGGGGGCCTCATCCTGTCCAAAAAGGTTTTCACTCTGTTTTCGTTCTGTCTGTCTGTCTGTCTGATCATTTTAGAAACGTCACATTAGTTCCCAAATTTGCTATTTGTCTGTCCATCCCATTCTGCCTTACCTTGTAAACTGTGTGAGATTTGAGTTGTCCCTTCTCACCCTTAAGTTAGCAGTAGATCATTTGAATTTTTTGTCTGTCTCGGCCGCTTGGTTTCCCCCACTGGTGGGATTCAAATAATTTAACAACCAGTTCTCTGCCCGAATGATTCCTTCCAACAACCAGTTCACCAAACTGTTCAGAAAGTTAAACAACTGGTTCTCCTGAACTGGTGTGAACCGGCTGAATCCCACCACTGGTTTTTCCTCAGTTTTAAACCTGGAGAACAGCACTTTCCATCCCACGAGGCTACTGTTTGTAGACCACACAGGCTCCTTGGTCTTCGGACGTGAATGCGATGCGCACACAAGAGTAGGTTGGAAAAGGAATTCCCTTTCATTTGAAGGAGTGGGGAAAAAATAATAATATTTCCCTACTTAGAAAATTCAGAAAAGGTCTGGGAATATTGCACGATCCTTTCCCAGAGGCTGTTGTAAAATGTAAAACTGAAAATAGAATTCCAGACAGAAACCGTGATGGTTTGGATTAAATAGACACAGAGACTCTGATTGTTTTGGCTCCATGGACCTAGAAAATCTTGAAATTCTCGTACAGGTAGTCCTCAATTTACAACCATTCATTTACAAACCATTCAGAATTGTAATGGCACTGAAAAAAGTGACATACGATCGGTACTCGGACTTAACAACCACCCATCGTAGCGTCCCCACAGTTATGTGATCGGCATAATTCTGGTGCTTGACGATTGGTGTATATTTATAAGGGTTTTAGCATCCTGGGGTCATGTGACCATCATGTACAACCTTCCCAGCCAGCTTCCAACAAGCGAAGTCAGTGAGAGAAGACGGATCCGCTTAATGACTCTGCTATTCACTTAACGACCATGACGAAAAGGTCGTAAAATTGGGCGCAACTCATGTAACGTCCACTTGGCTTAACAGTGGAGATTCTGGTCCCAATTGTGGTCGTATGTTGAGGACTACCTGCAGTGGTTAGGCCAGGGGTGTCAAACTCAAGGGCCCATGGGGTGCTTAGAACTGGCCGGCAGGGCGGCCCTGGAAACCGCAAAGGATAGGCCCGCGGTGCCTCTGCCATTGAAAATGGCGCTTGGGAGGCTGCATGAAGCCCCCCCCTCCCCCCACAGGCTCCGTTTTCGCTGGAAGAGGGATAGCAAAACAAACTAAAAACAAAAGAGAAACAAAAAAGGAGAAATGATTCCCCTTTTGCATTTGAGCATGCAGGAAGCGACAGGAAAGGAGAAAGGGAAAGAACAGGAAGGAAAGATGAGAAGGAAAATAAGGAAAGAGGGAAAGGAAGGAGAAGGGAGAGGGAAAGAAAAAGAAGAGGAAGGAAGGAAGGAAGGAAGGAAGGAAGGAAGGAAGGAAGGAAGG